TGCTTGCAGGTATAAAATGACAAGCTACAGCTTTTAGCTACTTTATAAGCTTTTCTCAGATGGGAAGGCAGAGGAAAACCCCCAAAAGAATAGTTAAATCTTAAAAAAAATGACTTCTCTAATGCAAGGAAAGCAGAAGAAAGTTAGGGACAGAAGAGTTCACAGCAAGACGCAAATCAGAATGGCAGCACGCCAGCACAGATGAAAAGTTCAAGGTCTAATTTGATGAGATTAAACTTGTTTGTAGATATGCACAGAAGTAGGCAAGAAAAGCTAATACCCCGAAAGTTGTAAGTATGACACCAAGTTCATAAAGATGACTAGACTACCTAAAACTATTCGCACTAGGCATACATGCATGAACACAAAAGGAGAGGGAGGAAAAGTACCTTCAGGGTCTCCATTTCTTCTTTTGTGGGACAAAATTTTATAAGATTCTCAACTTGATCAATGTCCAGGGCTGAAGAATCCAAAGTCAGTATGGCATTCTGGAAAAACAAGCAAGAAGCATCCTCTTGATGTTAATTTATGATTAATCCCTAGTCTATGACAGAAGAACTCTCGATTAATTATTAAGTGGAATATATTGGAAACAATTCACTATACTTGTTTAGCTCCAATGAAGAACAGAAGATATGCCAATTCTCCAACACTACATGATAGATAATAGTAATGTTGCATTACTATAAAATCTGTCACATAATTGCAAGTGGTTGTCATTGGAAGCAATGGAGGCAATCATAAATGTCCTAGAAACACGATTAAAATACTTCTATTTCTTGTGCCTTCCTTCTCTTATCTTGAATCTTCCCCCTCTTATTAACTGAGGGGTTTCCTTTTAATGAGTTCAAATGACAATCAACAACATAGACATCTTTCTAAATTTTGTAAGCCAATTTCTATGTTTTGCACCCCAGTGTGCCCTTTCACAATTGATTAAGATAGTATGTCAATGCTAATCAAGCCACTGAGTTTGAAAAATCCTGATTACTATAAAAATATTTAAAATTGGAAAGAAAGACCTGATATATTTCAAGTAAGGTCGTCAAGAAAAGAAGGAAATTGAGCAAATGAGCCAATGGTCAAATTATTTAGCAAACAAATTCTTCATAAAAAACAATTACAAAAAATCTTTGAAGTCAAACAAGAATATATAAAATACTTTTAGCATATGGTAAGCAATCACAACAAGAACAACATGCGAAGCCTCCCAATTAACTTGAGTTAAGACCACACGAATCCTTTCTAACTTCATTTAATCAAGCACTACATATACTGAAAGGTCTAATAAAATTTAGAGTATGTTTGGCAAGTGTTTCATGTCAAACCACTTTTAATCCACATATTTCGTGGGATCCAAGTACTACGAACTTATCCACCACTTGTTTCTATCTCTATCTGTTCATAAGCACTTGCCAAACATACCATAAATCTTTTGTCTAACCTCATTATGTTAATTTTGACATACCCCTCTTTCAACCTATTTTGATTGGGATCATATAGGTTTTGTGGATGGGAACTTTTTTAGGTCGATGCAAGACTATCACATCTAGCCAAATCGTCCTTCCCCTAATTTTCTAAATAAATGAAAACAATATACAAAAGGAATATAGAGATCCAGACGGTAGACATATCAAATTTATATTGAGCATGAAGGAAAAAAAAAAAAAATTAAATATTTTCAGCCTCCACACTAATTCCAAACGCTTGAAATTTTGTTTATATACAAATCAATTACAAAGTGGCATTTTAAACAATTTCCCAACAACACCAGAAAAGAATTGCCATTCAACCCCACTCAAAATTTGAGTTATGTTACCATGGATGAAGAATAGAACTTACAATCATATCTGGCAGTGGAATCTTAACCTTTGTGAGCATAATTTCACAATTATAGCCTCTACGCAAATCAACCTAACAATAAAAATCACAAAAGCGTAATAAATAATCTAAAAACTAGTTTTGTATGACGATAATTATCAGTAAATATTAGAAAAAAAAAGAAAAAAGAAAAAATGAAATGCAGAATATCAGAGTATAACATTGATAAATAGAATAATGTGTTAGATATCAACAAATGACTTTGTTTGTTAAATATATTGAAAAGGGGTAAACCATTTCCCTTTTTCCAACACTCTTGTTATTATATATGTAAACCTTCAATTGGAGGCGGCTAAATTCATGCATATAATATGATCGTACTTCATGAAACAATCAATGTTGTAACACCAGTTAATTCATGAAGGAAAATAAGGATAAAAGACACTCAGCTACATTAAAAATTTACAACCATTTCATTTAGTTTTGAAGAAGCTGCTCGGGAATTAAAAGGTAACAAAAGTATACATTTTAGAACTCCATGTTAAGAATCTCTCTCCTCCCAGTGACAACAATATTCTAATAATTCAATTTTAAGAGATTGATTATGTGAATATTCTGGTCACATAAATACGTATATTGCCAAATTTTTCCGATGAATAGTACGAAAAACTTAATTTAACGAATTAAAAATTGTAATTGAAGATATTCTTTTCCATTGATATCATGATTCAAGGGAAAATGATGATCTTTTGCGGTACCTTTCTTAATTGTGCTTGAGATGAGATTTATCACTCCTTTTCCTTTTGGGCGTAAATAGTAGGTTTCCAAGGTGTAACTAAGATATCTCAAGCATATGCAGCATGAACATGACCTTAATTCAAGTTACATCAGTCAATAAGTTCATATATAAACATTTTTCATGGAATATTGAAAACAACGAACATTGTTCACTTGCCAATTGCACTTTTTCTGGTTTTTTAATTTTTGAACCGCATTGGCCTCCAGCCTTATTAGCAATGTCTGAAGTAGATGCCACGGAGAACAGATTCTCGAGCTCAGATATATCAATTTCAGGTGCCCTAAGAAAACATCAATGCTGAGAATCAGAATTTCACATAATAAGATATATTACAGAATAACATGTAAAAACAGAGTCAACAGAGATGAATTACATTTTTCTTCAATGATCTCCCTCTATAAAAGGAGTCAATTAATTCAGAATAAATACCGTATTTCCTAAACAATCTTTGTAGTTAGCATACCTCGATTGACTTTCCTGTTTCTGAGAATCAGCCCACAAACTCCCTTGCATTGCACGTGTCACTTCCACCCAATGTAAAGGCTTAAGTGATTTTTTTTAGGTGGAATTGAAGAACCAGTGAAGCTTCGTCCTCTTCCATGACTCGTTGATCCTGACACAACTCTTCCCCTTCCAATAGATGAAGGTGGTGGTGGTACATTGGAGCTCTTTCCACCAGGTAGTGAAGGTGGAGCCGGCACTGAACCACGGCATGGAGGTGGTGGAGGTGGAGCTGAGCTATGGCTTGGAGGCAGTGGAGGTGGAGCTGGTGCTGAACCACGACTTGGAGGCGGAGCTAGTGCTGAACCCCGACTTGGAGGTGGTGAAGGTGGAACTGGTGCTGAACCAGAACCACGACCTGGAGGTGGTGGAGGAGGAGGTGGAGCTGATCCATGACCTAAAAGTCGTGGAGGAGCACTGGGAAGTTCTGGTGCTTGCAGAGGAACTGGAGGAGGGGGAGGAGGAGGGGCAGGGGGAGGTAGCGAAGTTCCTTCTGAAAAATCAGGTGGAAGAGACGGTGGGGGCGGTGTGGGAACAGTTCTAGTACTAACAAGAGTAGGTGGAGTTGGAGGAGGGGGTGGAGAAAAAGGAGGAGATAATGAAGTTCCTTTAGTAGAAATAGGAGTAGAAGGAATTGGAGGTGGAGGCAGCAGCAGAGGTACTATACTAGAATTAATAGTGGGTGGAGGTGGCGGAGGAGGTATTTTTCTAGAAACAATAGGAGGTGGAGGTGGAGGTGGAGACGGTGGTCCTTTACTTGAACCATTAGGAGGTGGGCAAAATTCCTCCCCGGGACTAATAAGAGGTTGTTGAGAATGTATTTTACTAAAACAAAGTGGAGGGGGAGGTTGTGGTGGAGGACATGTGGTTGAATCTAGCAGAGGTGGTGCTGGTAATTCAGGGGCTGTTGTAACAGAAACAGTGGAGGAAGGTAGTGAAGGCTGTACTGTTGGGGGGTATATTGAATGAAGTTTCTGTACTAGAATATTGTATTTTATTTAAAGGTTCAGACGGAACATTAGAATCAAATTGACCATCAGTTTCAGGAGAATAATGGATAGGATCAACTGTGGCCGACATTTTGGGCTTCATATGATCCTTGGTGGATTTGAGATTAGAAGCTTCATCTGAAGTACAAGCAGGGTATGAATGATCATCAAGAAAACTAACTTCTGGGGCATTTCCCTTCTCAGAGTCCGGAAAATCAAGACTATCGGCAACACTAGATGCTGTATTTTCTTCCTCAGAATCAAAAGGTGATGAATAATCACTCATTCTGCTTCGCAACATTGACAAATCTTTGACATCATTCAACATAGATAATTATTTAAGTAACCATAAAGTGGCATCATTACTGGAGTCAACCCAATCTACACCACCAAAAAGTTCTTGCACCCGAGAGAAAGCTTCAATAGGCAGTCCACCATGTTCCTCCCCATTTAAGATTGCAGCTGGGGCTTTTGAGGGAGAACGGGTCTCAACATCTCCAAATAGCACCTTTGCTTATGAGAAAAATCAAATTTCACTGAGATGTCAAGGCAATTAAAGAAAATTTGACTTGCTCAACTACGTAACTGAATCTTTACAATGCAAAAAAAAAAAAAAAATCACCACCTCAGCTCGAAAGCCTTTAGGAAACCGTGCCTTTGAGTCCCAAAGAATATCCAAGTTCTCAGAGTTGAGCATAAGAATATTGGACCGAATAAAAGCTGTATTGAACATTGCTCGAAACATCATCACTTCCCTTTCTGGATCCAAGTCTAAATGGACACATTCAAGTACACCATCCCCTTGCACCAGACATTGTATATCGATCTTTATCACGTCACAATCCTTCTGTAAATGATCCCGATTAGAACTCACAGAAGAGCCATATGGACTTCTGCAAAAAAAATACCAAAACCAGGGATTTAACATCTTACTTGACGATAATGGCGAACCTGTCTACCCTTCTTATGCATGGAATAAAGCATTTGGGTCGACAATCCATCCTTGCTAAGGAGATTTCGACCAAAAATACGAACAATTGGCCTGCAGCCTTTTGGATTATCAAACCTCGGTATAGCAAGAAAAATCAGACAGTCCAAAGAAAGAGCTCTCTCGGGCGGTGGCCACTCGGGGGATATATTTCTTCTTGATATGTATTGAAGCCAGGTACCAGAGCTGAGATGGGAATGGATTCAGCGGAGACAATAACTGCAACAAACCTTTGGACCTTCTTTGTAAACCATTTCAAGAGTTTTCCTCTCGCCGCTGTGCAACTTCCTGTAAACCAGGAAACCAGCTAAAACAAAGGCGAGGACCAGCCAACTACCTCTATCGCAGTGGAACAAAACTACATTCTGGCTATTCCCAAGATAAAGCCAACTCTCACTAACACGAAGGAAATGGCGAATCAAAGACAGTGGCAACAAGGGACACCCCTCGTATTGCCTTGGATAATCCATAACCGTGACATCATACTCACACAAAATCCCTGCAAACTGGCTCCTCTTTTCACCTTCCCGAAAATTAAAAGCAAGAAATGAGGAATCAGGGAACTCTTCATGTAAATCAGTGATGATTTCTTTCAGGTATAGCTGGTATATCCCCTCAGGCAGTACCTCCGATGAGAAACACGAGTGAAAAACTGCAAATGTAGAATGTCCTCTCATTAATAAGGATAAATAAAACATAAAAACTTCCAACTTATATTCTAAAATTAAACAAAATGTAATTAATAGTATTAATGTAAAAATAAAAATAAAGATTCGAATTTGAAGCTTCAATTTACCATATACTCTATCAGAGAGTTCAAGCAAGCCATCTGGGGGTCTTTTGTAAAAGAATCTACTGAATAAGGACATACTGTCAATCAAAGTCACCTCCAAATGCACATCCGATTAGTCAATACTTCAAAATGGAAACAATAAACAAATAAAGCTCAAAGCACCCATAAGTAAATAAATATTCTACTTAATTTCATAGATAACCTATAGTATCACAGTCAAGTAAGTTCGAAGATTGTAAATTCTAAAAAGCGCAAGTCAAAATAAAAAAGAACGAAAAAAAAAATATTGGATTAAACAATTAGGCAATAAAAATTAATAACATCAAACTCAAAATTGCTAATGCAAAATGTAAATGACATAAAGTAATACGGTAACGATAAGGGAAATTAGTTCTGTTGGCCAACCCTCAATATGTTTTTGTCCAAAAGGCCTTTGACCAGATTCTTCAAAAGAAAAGGATATTTAATTATTTAAAAGTGTTAAAATACAACTTTACCCTTCTTTTGTAAAGGAAATTTTAAAGAAATTTT